CGGTATAGCAGGGAATGCGTGGGAGAGGAAAGTGGAAAGGGCAAAGGAGGAGAAGGAGGGGAGGAGGGGAGAGGAGGGGAGGGTACAAAAAGATACAAAAGGGGGATGGACGGGTGACGAAGTGAATTACTGCTACCACGGAGGTTGCTGGTTGTTACCGGTAACGCTCGGGCAAGAGCTCTGGTAACGTATTAACTCGCAAATAATGTCTGCTTTGTTATGCAGGGTTATTCACGGCAAACGCACCAGCTGAAATTGGCCCTGAACTGGTCGTTTTAAGAATCAGAGCAGGGTGGCATCATTATAGAAATGAAAGTTAACGTCATGACATTGCTAAGATTATGAATCTCACGTTCTTTTTCACAAGGCCACCCTGGCTCGATTAACGGAATTGTTCGATCGGCGTCCAACTTCAGCTGGTGCGTTCGCCGTGAGAAACCCTACAGGCACGTGTGTTACGCGTATCAGTATATAACAGACGGTTATAGGTAACATACATATATAAAATATATATTGTACCGTGTAAAAGTCATTTGGTTGCTTCGATAAAAATTTCTGAAGGCCAAGCAGTGCTCTCTTGGAAGAATTTGGAAAAAAGTCAAGTCAAAAAGTCAAAACATAGGAATCCTGCTAAGGGAGACATAGATTATCGTAGTACTTGATACTGATGATATAATGATATTAAAAGTACTTAATGATTCTGTCTGGACATTGACTAAATTTTAGATAATATAACTCAGTCTATTTTCAATTTTATCGGTTTATGGAGAAAGAAAAATGTTCCCCAATAGAAATTCCATAATAAAAATTGAAGACCCGTTGAGGTTCTAGCTGGCCCCGTACTGGCCCGGTGTGGACTCAAGTCCTGGTCTGATTAGACAGGCTCTGAATTCGCCGAAGAAAATTTCTACATGGGTTCTTAAAAGCCGACAACGAACCGATGGGGCCTTTACATCTGATTTGTGAATCGATGGTTCTTAACGTAGTTTGTGCATTATAGGCATCACCATTCCCCAAAAACTAATCGAAGCGTTCGGTGTCCTTCTCCTCCAGTTCGTGGTCAACCCTGCTCCTGGCTTGATCTTAGCATTTTACCATCATCCTCTTTTCCCAACACCTTAGATAATAGTGGCTGATTGAATATTTAGATAATACCGCAAAGTAACCAATAGCACATTAATACAGTGTAACAATTTATTTGAGTCGATTACTGTGACGATGATTTGAGGCACATCATTTTAATGAAGTTTTCTACCCAGATTGTGGCTATCTTCGATTAAGAACACAATCAAAACGATAAAACACGTCGTGAGCGATATGAAAACTTTCTTCGTCGTTTGATTTTCACTTCTACGTAAACTCACCTCTTGCCATTTTAATCAGTTTCACATTAGACATTGTTATGTCGCAGAAGAAAATTAAAGGAAGAAGAAAAGACGATTTAATGTCATTATTAACTTGAATTGTCAAAATAATTACAGTCAATTTTGAATATTGCATCCAATAGTTATGTAAATGCACTTAAACATTTCACTTAATATTTTACTTAAAAATTGAGATCAATAATAACATTAGGTAATATATAATATTCTATTTTACGTATTCTACCTAGTGCGAGAAAGGTCAGTTATTTTATTTATATATCAGTTATTTATATATTATTGATACTCATGCTTTTCGGGTGGAAACCATCGGTATTAATAACATTTGATAATATATTAATACACGAGTTATATTAACAGCCCTCAAACAATTGTTAACAATTGCTCAAATCGTCAACAGACGTAATTTAAGAGAATAACAATTTATAGTCCGACACTAGTATGAAATATGTCTAGAATCTGTCATACAAGTCCAACTCCCGGCCACACGACTTGTCTCGTACCTGTCATTGTTAAAAGTCTGGTTCAGCAATTTCTGTTTTCTAAACAATAATAAATTTTAGTCTCTCCAACACTTAAAGTCCGAATTATCCAACGTTAACACCTCAATCGAGCTAGCACCGCCATAAAGGAAAATAAAAAAACGACTTATTGTACATTGTAATTAATGGTCCACCCTTGACATATATGAACCCTTAACCAGCGGTACAGCTATATCTTTCAATGCGAATTGTAGTTCCGAGTCGGAATGGCCTCGAAGGGTGCAGAGTTCGCATCGAAAGATGCAGCTGTATTCGCGGTCAAGGGTTGATATATGCCAACTAAAGGTGGAGCAATAAATACGGTATCGAGGTACCTTGAGAGCCTTTAATTCAGAGAGTTTTTAGCGCCATCCCTAACCGGAAGTGCTGCTCCTATCGAGAGATACAGACTGCATTTCCAATGCGGGAATGATTTGAACCCTCAAGGGGTTGACCATCAGATTCGGCATTAAGGTATTTCGAGAGCCTTTAATTCGTAAGAGATTTCGATGATTTACGGAACAGGCAACCTATACCTATGGTCTACTGGTTTTCGTGAAAGAGTCAATTCAAACGAAACAATATATGTATCTATCCTTTGAGCCTTTAATTAATACGTAACGTATTCCCACGTCAATACAATTTTTATTTATTTTACGCTGTGCCGGTGCCAACTGGATATCAGGCTAGTACCGCCACAAGCTTTTTTAAAAATACAAGAATCATTAAATTTTGCAAAATCAGCCCTTAAATTATGACTTAGCTTTGTGATGGTGCTAGCTTGACCGAGGTCGTAGAGACAGCTGGGTGGCAGCCACTGTCATCTATCGTCCCTACTTAAGATAAGGTTAAAGTACGTTGATAAAGTTTCTCAAGCTAAAATAGGAACCTCAACCCACAATCCTGGCTTCTATTAGTCTTCCGAGCAATCCGAAAATTCTAGCTAGTTACCGAACTAACTGCTCATCCGAAATTCTTTGAAGCGGCCAACGAAAACGCAGGGAATTCAGGAATCCTAGCGATACAGCCACAGTGGAAATAGATGTAGACCTAAAACTGGAACGCATGATCGGACATCATAGCTATGCGCACGTCTGGCGCAACGGCATAGAGAAGCGCAGTAGACCAGCAGCCGAAGACCCTCGGCAGTTCCAGTCCCGGACATACAGTTGTTTACAAATCGGTTCCGCACAGTATATCTGAATAATTAAACGTTCTGGTCTGTGGCGTCATGCGATGTAAATATCATCCAATCGTTTTCCCCAAGTAATGTCTTTGACGATACCAATGAATATATAACATTGTTACCAAGATTGTTTACCTCGTTTATAATCCCCGTTTACATGGTAACTTTGAGAAGAATGAGACAAGACACAAATATACCACGTGAAATGTCGTCTCGCGGATAATAGCTCTGCTATGCAGAAAGCAATGGAGAGATATTGCATAGTTAACTGTTTGGGTCGTGGTATAAGTCAATGTTACGGATCGTGGGGATAAACTTAACTAAGAGGTTGTATATTGAAATGAGAGACAATGCCACGAAGTAGTCCCAAGTATTATCGCACGGATACCCTACTGTCGTAAATAAATCCAGCCCTTCCCCATTCTATGTTTTGTTAATGAAAATCGAGTCACTCGTCCAGGATCCACCGCGTGACCGATAATTAGTTAACGTAAACAAAAAAATTTATTCGATGAACGTATAATCATTCCTTTCGATAAATATTGATATCTCACATATAATTATATATGCCCATGTTTTTCGTACATAAATTATAGTATACGAATTACACATGTACGAGAGCATACACAATTTTTATGTAATCTATATACGTATATTTTTTTCACTTTGTTGAACTCTCCTTGCCACCGGCTTTGTCTTTGTGACAAATTTAGATAGTCGCACCCTAAAAATACGAGCAACACTACGAGTACCAAACCGAACTTATTCCCGTCCGGAACTTCCACGTGTCTGGAAATGCGTCTGGGTGCGTGCGAACGCGCAGCATTCGTAGCTGCATCCCAAGATGAGAACCGATTAAACCTTGCCTGGTTAAAAGACGGAGAAATATTTATAAATTCGATGAACTCGTTGCGGCACATAATTGAAATACGATATATGAATTCCGTGACTAGAAGCTCCAAATAATTTTATAGATGGTTATTAAGAATCAATAATAAACAAAAAAAAGTGACAACGATAACAGCTATGGCGCAGTTCTAATGATAGCAAACCACGCACAGAGAAGTTAAAAAGAAAGAGAGAAGATAGCATATACGCTCGATCGTCGGTTTGTATTTCTGGCCGGTGGCCGATTACTAAGATTAGAAGGTACCCTCTATATATAGCATGACATTTGTGTACACTAGATCCTCTACTCCCAACCGTGTGTCAAACACGAAACGGTGCCTTGAAGTTGTCTTGCGGAAGAGATAAAAAAAATACGAGATGAACTGCAAAGTATCAAGAAGCAGGAGACAGGTGGAAAAGAATGCCAAAGTACCTTTATCGAGGTGAACGATCGAAAAACATTTTAGGTACTTTGTGCGCGCATCTGTCGAACGTGCATTACCGTGCTGGCGGTCCCGTTAAACACATTGTGCCATTTCTCATTTAAGGGCATTTCATTTTCTATTTATCCAGAAGCAATTGTTCTATATATACACATATACAGGACAATCGCTTATCAATATATATATATATATATATATTGATAAAGTTAAATATAAACACTTTTAATGATATGTTATCCGTCACGAGATAACTTGACCGTCTTCCTATCATATCTCGTTTGTGCCTTCTCTGCGTAATTCCTGAGTCGCAACAAAATTCTCGTCTATTAATAGAGCAAGCGAGGCCATGGAAGTGGAAGTGTGCAATACAGGTTGCGCAAGAGGCAAAAGGCAATCGCGCGCGATAAGGTCATTTCAACGTACAAGTAGAAGACGTCGCTACAGTGATACTGTAATGTAGAAACAATAGAGAAATAATTGAGAGATTTCGACGGGGCTCGAACGTGGATGGAGCATGCAACTTTATCGCCCTCGAATGGAAATATTTAAAAGAGTCAAAATCACGCAAGGCCATACATACCTAATTGATTTCTGTGGTGCATATTGTACGTAGCACCATAATCCAGGGCCATATGCAGCCCCTTTGCCGACGTTCACGAAAACTTACACTTTGAATTACGAAGCATCCGATGCGCTTTCTTGGTGGTCACGTGAAATTACACTTTCTCTACCCTCAGCGGGTTTAACGGTTGTGCACGTCGCCACTTGGGCAAATACTTGGTCCCTACGTCGACATACGTATATATTGATGTGACTTAAAGTGGACAGAGAAACGGCACGAGGAACATCAAAGGGCGAGAATACACGGGAGGCTTATGATACGAGTCTTCCCTTTCCTCGAATCTTTCAGCCTGCGCTCCTCCTTTGGCTTTTCCTTTCGGCACTGATCTGGAAAAGAGGATTAGTGGGTGACGCCTGTGTGACACTTGCAACTATTTGACGATGGCGACGATAACGTATAAGCTGCCTTTGGATCGAGTACCAACGAACAGATCGTCACGCGATGACACGCGAAAAATGAAAGCGAAGAAGAACTTTTTCAATGAAATATTTATCTTATCGCGCTTGCAACAGTATGTATGCGAAAGTCAGTTGAAAAAGTTCTTCAAAGAAAGATAATTTGACGCATCGACAAAAAAGTTAAGCGGATCGCTGCTTCCCTAAAATTCGTGCGGTTCGATAAGAGAGGGACGAGCGTCTGAGAATTATAGGAAAGATGATAAGGAAGAGCCAGAAGAAATACGTATAAACTGGCATAGGAGAGAGACGAAGAAAAAAGGATAGATGAAGGAATATATATATATATATATATATTCGCAGATTCCTGACGAAAATAGAGCCACGCCTTTATTCACAGATCTCAAAAAATAGTAGCGAAACTCATTAGAGGGACGTCGCTAGGACATTTTGCCGAGCAAAAATAGAGTTGTCAGCGCCGTTTTCCTCGTCGCCGGGGGAGGTGTGCTTACGTAAGCGAAATTCTTTTTTAATTTTGGCGAACCGCAGAGGTGCTTGAACCGGTGCCATTAAAATTTTTGAACGCTTCATAAAAAAAAAAGGAAGCATTTTTAGCCTCATTTTGTCCTTAATCAGTCGTCCTTGCTGCCGCACAAAAGCCAGCAGCTAAGCTTGAAGAGGTCGAAAGCCCAAGAGTTCGAAAATATGAAGAAGGGATCGAATATTGGAGACCCAAGCTACAACAGGAAGAACGTCCTCTCTTGAAATTAATAAAACGAAACAAGGTTAACTTTTCAGAAGACATCACATCGGCGAATCTCCTTCGTACGATAATAGTACCGACCGGTTAACTATTTTGCCTTACGAGCAACCCATGTCGAAGGACGGTAAAGAAAAGAAAAAAAAGAAGCAAAGAACGCCGCAAGAAGTCTGCCAAATTCTGATAGCCGCAAACTATAACTCGGATCTATAGATATATGGATCAATAGTATACGCCACTTCTCAAAGATCTATCGCGTTAATGGAAACTCCCGTGCGTGTGTAGAGAACATTTTTGTCACTAGTCCAATTCTCATTGACTCTAGAGGGTGACTATAAAAATAAATCAGTCGCGGTTATTTACGCGGCGTGATTAAGTCTGAGATACGTCGAGCGATCGCCGGAAAAAAAAAAGAAAAGAAAAAACCAAGTGAGAACTACGGGAGCAGAAGAGAGTTACAAGGAAAAAAAAAAAAAAAAAAAAAAAAAAAAAAAAAAAAAAAAAAAAAAAAAAAAAAAAAAAAAAAGAAAAAAGGAAACGAAGCTATAAAGTACCATCTTAATTTTGGATTCGGCAGCTGTCCATCCCCGTTCCACGTGAACAGACGGAAATAATGCGTATTTTCAACGGATCGATAATCTATTAATAATTAGCATGTAACTGTCGCTGCAAGCCGGTTCGTGGACTATTTTCAAAACGATCCGCTGCCCGTTATACTGTCTGATCCTACAGTGGTTTATAAAGGAGTCTGTACATATAGATCTTGCATAGATTCAAAGTGGACCATAAAGTCGACAATTTGCTTTCCACAGTCTTTGTCTGCCCTGTGAGACTTACGAAGACTCTTGCACTCAGAGACCCAAGTAAGTGCGGATATACCTAATAGAGATCTTTTTCAGGTCCCTCGGACCAATAACTTTTAGGTTAGGTTAGACGTAGAAGGAAAATCGTAACGTCTTCCACTTGCCTCACGGCACCCGATGTTTCCGGATATGCAGACTGGAAAAGGACATTTTGTCATTGAAAGATATGCGAAAGGGACGGACCAACGACCGCGTAATGGATGCATTCACGGTGGTGGACCGGGCTAACCTGACTCTTGGTGGGCCGAGGAGACAGTTCCAACCGAACCGCACCGAACCGATCTGACGCGACGCGATGACGGATCTCATCGTAACGTACCCCGATACGTCGTCGGTATTTCTGTGCGTTGGAGTGCAGACGCACTTAATCCTCGCATTCCGCGGTCTCACCTTGCTCTATTCGCTGCCATCTCGATATTCGCTGCTGGATACTTGTGTCGCTTATGCGCATGCGTGTTGAGCATTTAAAGGAATGCATCCACATCTATAAACATGTGTACATAAATTGCGATCGCTCCTGACGCCAGCGTTTTTCTTCCTTTTCGCAATTTATTGCTCCACTTTCACGAATCCCTTATTTTTCTTTGCTGCAAAAGGACACGCCATTGACAAGATGAAGAAAATTGAGATATATTTCCGTACGAACCCAACCGGACGAATTGACAAAATTTTAATAAAATCGCCGATAAGCAGACTCAAGAATATACCAGAGAGTCACGTAACTGTAGATTTCGGAATCGACAGTACAAATGGGAACAGCCGTCGATTCACGAAACACGAACGATTCCATCGAAAAGTCCGAGTAGCAGGGAAATAGAAGAGAAAGAAGAAGCCATGTATCTTACAAGCACGGTGGATGAAGGAATGTACGGCCAGAAGAAGACTGCTCTTAGAGTACACCATTCATTGCGTAAATTGATTCCGTGACTATCCCTGAGTGGTGGGAATGACTCGAGTGACGTCATCTACGGGTTCACCAGGTACACACTCCTATGGTGGCACATGGCAACGCTCGAGGGTCCAAATGGCCAAAGAGAAATATCCCGACCACAGGTTAACGTTAATTTGTTTACCGATGTAAAAGAGCTCGATGCGATAAACCTTCAGTAACTTTCCACCGAATAATTCTGCCTGCCCATTCGCACTAAGAAACAATTTCAAGGTCAACTTGAAATATAGATTTATTTGATGATGAGGTTGCGACAACGAAAGAGGCTAATTTTAATCGAGAATCCTAAAAAAGGAAATTATATATTTTTAACGAAAGCTGGTTGAGTGACACTGGCGATCCGTTACAATTCTATCGCCCACGCTTTCCACGATACGACGTTACACGGTGACCAAAAGCGAGTCGCCGCCTTATCGTTTCGATGCTTCGGCTCGTCGACAGCCGCGTCAACAGGTCGTCCGCCGTTGCGGCGGAGCTAAGAGACTTCTGTAGTCGGAGCGCAAAGTAAAAAAGAGAAAACGTGCGCTCCTCGCCAGAGTCTTTTTTTTAATGACTTATCTTTTATACGGTGCACGTAAAACAGTGCATGTCGATTATTAAGGCAGAACCTGAAGGGACCTTTGGAGCTCAAACGATCGTCTTAATTTCGGAGCCTGAAATTGACAGCTACCCAGAGACTTGAAATATAGAATACTTTATTTCGATACAGCGGCCGACGTATCCGTAAACTTAGCAGCATCATTTGGGCAGACATTTAATAATGATATATAGAAAAACATTGGAGAAACAATGCAGCGCGGTCCTCGTCCACTGCATTCGTGTAGAAACTTTGGACTTGAACGTCTCCCTGTGTGTCTGGAATTTCTTGACTCCTACTTAAACACGCCTGTCAACTACATACGATATCTCGATCGATAGACTCTAACGCCCAATATGTGTCGGATGCCAGTGTTATTTACGACCGCGACAAGTGCCGATTCCACATGGCCGTTCAAGCTGCGCAGTCCTCGTGAGACTTCTAAGGGCGGATTCAGACTATGACTAAGCGACGGAAAAGAAATTGAAATGTTCCGTTGATGCTTTCTTATTTTCGTGCAGCTCGGGCTACAAGTTCGTGACGTAACCTATCCGACCGTGAAGACGCTTGTGATGAATAAAATATCGTTCCGAACAAATCGATTTATGACATGTCACACAGATTATCAGACGAGTCAGCGTGCGACCGTAGCTTCATTTTCAAGAATCTTTTCAGATCTGGAAGCAATTGCAAACGAATTCTCAAATGAATGTCTATATCGACGGAGGTGATGGATTTATCGATATTCATGATCAATTGTCCTCTCTACTGTGTCTGCTCAAATGCTTTATGACTACGAAGAACTATTAGAAACTATCAGTCGGATATTGAACTTGGGAGAGACTCCAAGCTCTAAAGAGACTGCCTGGGGCAATTATGACGCCACGTCGAGAAGGAAAAATCTACGTCGCACTCGCGATCCGACCGAACTGCTGACACGTGCCGAACCCCCGTCGACATTTTACGCGTCCACCGTTAGAGCCTTAAGGCAGCGACGGTAGAGTACCGACTGGCCACCTTAGCAGTCTTAATCCATCCAACCTTCGGTTCGAACTCTACGCTTGGGTTGCGCTGAACGTATCAATTGCAAAAAAACTCCTGGGGTCTGTCCCATCTCGTATGTCAAGAGAAACCATACTGAAGTGCTCCAGATGTTCAAATGCTATCCGAAATGAAAAAAAAAAAAAAAGAATAGCGTTTCTCGAGACTATGTTTGGTATTCACGTTCTAGATTCGTTATCAGTAGGTACATCTACGCCGAGCTGACGTCCTTCGCTTAAAATATAAAAGGATTTGGATCTTTATTCCGGACGCATTGAAATTTTATGAACTGGCCGCAACTGGACGTACATACTGTACGAATAATCGCTATATAAACAAATGATTTGCGAAGAACGTCGATGACGCGATCAAGACTAAAAAAGAGAGAGTAGCATACGCAACGAAGGCTCCACGCGATGACGCGGAGTTTCTAAATGCATGCTCCGAGTAACACTTGTACTTCGACCTATCGGAAGTCATTCGTTGACCCGCAGACCCTGACCTTACTACAATTATACAGGGTCGTGAGACTAGATAAATATCTTGTCGTTTCGATTTATTTCTGTCCACCTACAACCCCTACAAACATGTGGTATCACCGCGCGTGCACGCACATTGCCCATGAGAATCGAACGGCTATATTGACTTACAGAGTTTTACTCCAGCGGGAGAAGGGCTCATTGTTCAAGAATGCGCGCTATGTTCGACAAAGGCTGTTGTAGTCGCGATGAATACATTTCTCTTGTCCGAGAGCTCTCTCTATCTCTCTCGCTCTCTCCAAAGATTGAAATAGCTTTATTGTTAAGATAATATTTCCGAGTTTTTAGCATTGTAAAACAAGCACACGTTTCTTGTCACGAGTAGGAAAAATAGGTAATATCGATTAACCTTACTGCCGCGAAACCAATTTTCCATTATGGGAGTGAACGCACTCAACGCCCATCTCGCGGAATCTTTTCCAACTACGCAGAAGCGGTCGCCGTGCTTAGACGAATAAAGAGCACGCAGTGACTAATCCTGGCACTTTCTTTTGAGACATTTAAAATTACCCGCGTAAATCCGTTCACTGCACTGTCTGCTCTGTAGTAGATTATGCTAATATGAACGGTGAATATTGTGCTCGACAGTCAAATACGACGTGTGATTCAAGACAAATTGTTTGCGATGCAAAGTTTGAAAACGTGCCGGAAACCACTGTCTTCCCTAAACCTCAGCTAAGCCTTGTGTTAACGAACGTCTAATTTAATCCGGGTATTAGTCGGGCGCAAGTGACTTGGTAAGGATGGTCATGGTTTCGTGTAGACAAGATACGAATTTGATTTTAAACGTCGCACGTGTCTAAAGGACGTTACCAAACGAGCGAGCTAGCGGATCGACTTACCTCGTCATCGACCTCTTCCTTTACAATTATGAAAAACTATTTATCATTCATCCAGGTCTTTGGATGCGAGAAACACGTGCTTATGTTCCACAACCATCATTTCTCATTCGACGAGCACAGACAGAGTGTCCATTCCGTTACAAACGAGTAAACACAGATTGACCGTTTTAGTGTTCAGCTGAGAGAAGAAAACAGATCTGTCCCACATAAATAAATATTTTTGAGTCAATAGAGTGAAGCCATGGCAGGGTTAAGCCACATGGTTAAGCGCCAAAAGAATGTCAACAACGATAGATGTTGCGCGTTCGATCAGCGTTCCGTGTCAGACGCCTTTAACACATATCTAAGTATGTAGAAATGCCAGCTTCGAAGAATCTTCGGCCTCTAATTTATTAATACACGACCAGATCGATAAACCTGCTGAACGGAAGCGCTACAGCTAGTAAGACTCGCAGATAAAGTTAACGCTCTAATGTCTATGCAATTCAAATAATTCTAAAAAATTAAGAGTCCGAATAATCAACTGCTATGATGACAATCAAAACCTTTGACCAGAGTGCGAAGTGGGTTGAACTTCGGAAAAGAGAGATAGAGAATCGTAAACGAGATACGTATAACGAGGGTCGTGTGCATTGCGTGACAAATTATAAATATCACACGAACGGCGCATTAAAGTAATAGATAGCAGAATTTCCGCGAAAGGGAAAAAGCTCGCGTGTCCCACAGGCTCACATCGCGCTACAAAGGTGAAATCGTGCAACCACAAATGGCCACCACGAAGCACAGCAGCGTCGTCATCGACATCAATAAGACGCTAAAATATATATATACGACTGCTAAACGTCAACCGTTCGAGTTTTACCTCGTGCAAAACTTCACTCGAAATAATCGTGCGTCACTCTTGTGGCCTAATTATGAAAACAGAACGAGGTTCAGTCTGATGATATGTTGGTGGTATTTCAGCAAATATTTCTTTTCTGTTATTTTTAAAACACACTTCTGACAGTCCTGACACAACACAGCAGCGATTGCTCGCGCGACACCCTTTACGTAGACAGCAGTATCAAGCGCGCGCGCAAAGATGAGACAGCGTAAATTAAAGTGACGACAAAACATCGAAACGGCAAAAATTGCGATGTGACGATATCACTCAAATTCATGCACTGTAGACGCGAGTCGAACGCGAACTGCGGACCTTCCGAAGGTTTCGCGCCTCGTGAGATTCACGTCGCGCCCAGCGCCGCACCGCGGCGAAGACTCGAAGCCACCGTGGTTATTTTTAGAAACGCGCATTTGTTTTCCTCCACTCCCGCCGTTAATTCGCTGGGATATCGAGCATGCGAGAGCACGGAGCCACGAGAGCCGACGATCCTGCCGGTGGAGTTACAAACTTTACTATTAGATTAGTTGCGAAATGACATTTTTATAAGTTTCCACACGACCAGCTATTTTCGTCGGACCATATTATCGCACGAGCTGTGTCATTGGTTCGTTGTCCCTGAGATGATATCGACGCACTCAGAACTTAAACACGTTCAACAGATATATTGATTTTTGCTTTAATACGAGAAATCATTGTCTCCAGTAACATTGAGGCGATATTGCAATTGCCAGTTTGCCTTCTGTTATACTAAGATCGTTATTATAACGCAAATTTATAGGAATTTCATTTCACAATGATGAAAGTCGAGGATGCATTCGCGGAACTAAAAAAGAAATCTCAGCCAAGGCCAAACCCTGAAGAAAACTTTTGTGTAGGTTATACGAAATGATAGCGAAGATAATTATGATCACGTATATAACACAAGGTTAATGTATTACTGATTCTATCGTCTTATGATTTTGACGACACAACTAATATTGATTTGTCCAATAAAATCTGTACACGTATTCTAACATTTATATCGATTCAACCAAATAATACTCACTATTCATGAGCCTGGCAGAAACCAGTTCCCTGATACAGTCTATTTCGAATCTTAAAGAGTATCTGCACAAGAAGGAAACTATTATTAGAATAATATAACATGATACACATATAAGAAGCTATGACCAATAGAAAATCTAAGAACGACTAGATTTTCTAATTATTGTATATGGAAAGTACACTCCTGTATTGAAATTATTATCCAAGATAATATAATCATTTAGGGATACGATCCACCTTGGACAAGTTTTCTCTTAGCAGCGTTACACGCAATAATATACCATACAAATGTCTAGAACGTATTACCTTACAGCGACGCAACGCTATGAGATATTAAAATGCCTATAGGTCAGTTCCGCGTTCTTCGCGTACACGGAGACCTCTCTCGGTGAAAATCTACAGTAACACGGAACATGTTTACAGGCGGCTCCCAGAGCGAGTGACGATGAGTGTTATGTCAGAGATCTATCGGCTGTGCAGTGCCATTAATGATTATGCAATTCCTTAAGCATCTTACGTGAGTAAACCCGCTGTAACGAAGATGCTAACATACATGACTTCATTATTATTATTATTAAGCGAATTTCCGAAAAAAGTTCTTAAACGATCGACTCCTCGTTGCTCCTGGTGTTGCTGATGTACCTGCTGCCTCAACCCCTGAACGTATCCTGGTTCACGTTTTTTAATCGGTCCTGAGAACGTCGGGAATCGCGTGGTCTTCCCAAGTGTAGAGTACAGCTATAACTACAGGATAAAGCCGAAGGTCTTCGAAACGACTGGGAGAAACCTAGGACTCTGAAACAGCGAGACACCGCCTCTCCCC